TTACTTTTTTATAATTTCATAATATAAAAATAAAAAAATATAGATGAAAAAATTTAAAAAATTTAAAAAATTTAAAAATTTAAATAATATTGAATGAGGTTGATAAATTATTTTTTTATTATTTAATTATATTAATTATTTAATAAAAATTATTTTTAAAAATTATTTAAAAATATATAATATATAAAAAATTTAAAAAACGTTGGGGGTTCATGTCATAAAGGGACCTCCGCCCCTGTTTAGAGTCACGTTCTGTGTCAAAGGGTACCTCTGACAAAGAGGAAAAAATTTTGTATTTTGTATTAATAATGAAAAGAAGACATCTCCATCCCGACATATCACGTTCGCAAATTACGTACAAAGCCATAAAGTTGTGGCACTGTCAAAGGGTACCTCTGACAAAGAGGAAAACTTTTGTATTTTGTATTAATAATGAAAAGGACACATCTCCATCCCGACATGTCACGTTCGCACATTACGTACAAAGCCATTAAGTTGTGGCACTGAGGAAGCCAAAGCCCAAAAGACTAGAATTGATGCTTTGTTTGTCATGGATGATCCAAGTCAAAGTTTGGTTTGCAAAGGCGTATCAGCCTGGTTTTCCTTGCTAAGAGCATTGTTACTGACATGAAGACGAAAGTATGACCAGAGCATTGATAAACGCCGTCCTTGCTAATTTGTCCTTGACTCTTTCAAACGTTGCCTATGAGTTAGATTTGGAGGGACACAATCATCGTCTCTGCATTTTCCTTCGGTTCCAGGATTATTAGTGTATTATAGAATGTCATGTCATGCAGTTTTCACTATGCATAGCAGTTGCCTTTGACCCGACAGTCATTTATTAATGTTATTTTATAAAAAAAATAAAAGGTAAAGTTTTAGATAGATTTGTTGTGGTATGATGTAGTTCCTTGAGGATTTTTTTTATATCACATTTAATGTTTTATTTTTATTTTTAAAGGAGTAATTATTAAATTTTTATTTAATTTTTTATAAAAGGATAATAAAAAAATTTTATAATTTTTTTATTTTTATTTATTTATTTTAAAAAAAGATTTGAACGTTCTTTAAGTTTCTCTTATGATTTTTCTCACTTTCATTATTTTTTATTTAAATTGAAATTATTTTTTTGAGATAAAAAATATTTTAATGTCCGCACACAATATAATTAACCTTTTTTTCAATATTAAAATATTATATATATATATAAATAATATTTACATTTTTTATATATTAATTTCTCATCGTATTATTATATTAGTTAGTTTATTAAGTCAATAAATCAAAAATAAGAAATTAA